GGCATTGCAGGAGAAACTAAAAGAGGCAGAAGAAGAAAAAAATAGGTTGGAGGAGAAATTTAAGTGGTTGAAGCACAAAATAATGGGCGATAGTGACTAAACAAACATATTGATGCGTTGAGTGTAGTATTTTATTTTTATTTTGTACGTGTCATGCATTATCTTTAATTGGTAACGAATTTAAATTTTATTTTAATCTGTCATTTTGTTTTTGTGTTGTACTGTTAAACTACTAAATATCTCGAGAAATAAAAATACATGCGCAAATTATGTAAAACATAAATAATGTTGCTATTATATATTTAATGTCATATATACAAATAATAATAAATGTCAATGTGTCCCACAACCTGTATGCTTTAAATCATTGGCTAGCCTGAGGCGCATCCCATCCCGCCCGGCTACGCTATTAGGATCATCCTCATCACGTATCCTCTTTATTGGAGGATGCGCTGCAGCATGATCGTCGGGAAGGCTGGCAGACTCGGTAGAAGTGGCTGTCGGGCCGGCAGTAACCTACAGAATAATAAGATATTTTACTATATGAAATAATAATTACTAACATACGTGTTAGGAAATATGTTTTTAATGGTCATACCATGGTCTCAGCGGGCTCCTGAATTAGATCATCTGTCTCCGGCATCTCAGTATCGCAAAATGCATCCTCCGTGACGGGCGATGCCGATGTCTTTAAAAAAAATAAAAAAGCTTTAGATATTACTGACTAATCAATGAGATAAAAACAAATAGAAATAATAGTAATACAAACAAACCTGCGCCTGAGTAGCGCCACAACGCTCTGTCAGAACATCGAGGTGCACTGGAGTAGATGAAGTATGTGCTAGATCCTCAGCATCCCTCGATGATAATACATAACTCAGTCGTCGCCCACTATGCATGTCTCATGTCAGACGATCCTCAGCAACCGTCGATGGCTCTAAGGGATCAGGAAAATACTGATCCCACTCCTGTCGCGTAATGGACGTGCCCGCGATCAACAATGGAGCTGACAGGGTCAACAACGAATTCCCTGGCAACAACTGAAGGCTGAATGACGGCATATCATGATGAGCATCGTATGGCTCAAGGTGGTCACCCGACTGATCATCTCTAATATCCTCCACGGGTGCCTCAATGCCCCCTTGCTGGGGACCTCGTCCCCGCCGACCACCACGACCTCATGGGATACCCCTTCCTCTCTGGCCATTCCTGCCACGTCTACCACGTTCAGGCTCCACGGGTGGCCCATGATGGTACTCCTCTGGCGGCACATAAGCAGCCTTGTATCCTAATCGCTCATCATCTCGGGCACGCCTCAATGTCTGGGCAGCCAGATCTGTAACCTGCCGGCCATACTCGTGCAAAGCTGTCTCTCCCTCGCCGGTATGCTGCTGCATCTGCAGTCCCAACTGGTAGAACTGATGTAAGCGAATAGCCTGCATAACATGTTAGAACTTAATTAAGGAAGGATAATTTAACGTTATAAGTAAGTATAACAAATAAAATATCAGTGCCTCATGCCTCCTGGCGTATGGAATGTACCGACCACCAGCGCGATGAACGGGATTCCCGATGAGAAGTCGGGTAACGCTGCGATACCAGCCCATATACTCATGCTCTCCATCTGTACGCTCAAGTGGGGGGGGTGGCGGAATCAGGTCATACCGTTGGTCCCAAATCTCAATCTGGGCCTCTAGCCAGTCCAAGTATGTTTGGTCAGTCCTGGAACGACCATCTCGCTCGTAATGTGTCCTAAGCCAAGCATGCGGAATAGGTATAAGCTGCGGTTGACCAAAATGGCGAAGGACTTGCTCAATGACATGATGCTCAACAATAGCGAGACATATCAGTGGGACAGAAGAGCTCCACATAGCTCGGCCGTAGGAGCAATAATCGGGCAAACCAGCTATGAGCACGTCAATGTATGGCCTCCATAAAAACTTTTAATTAAACACAAGAATCGTGAGTAAACGCAACACATATAAAGCTAGGCCAAGTAAACTTAAGAATACATGTACCTGCGCGCCTTCAAGTAAATCCAACAAATCCCTGTAATAGGGGAGATGATGTCGAGCCTCGAACTCGCGTCCGTAGCCTCGCCTATCAACCCACCTCCAAGCTAAAGGGAGAAACGGTGGAGGTGGTGCATCCGGAGCGATGGGTGGTAGAGGTGGCTGAAACTGCAGGAAACGCTCCGAGGCCCAAACCTAATATAGATTGTGGACGTAAAATTTAAGGTATTTTTTTACTATGTATGTTGTAATCATAAAAAGAATTGACTATGTTTTTACCTGCAGCAGCGGTAAAAATCCGGCAACGTCTCTCTGGGTGCCCATGCTAGCCCGACACATATGCCTATACAGGTAACCTAGAACAGCTGCACCCCAGCTGTAACTAGGTAAATCATCTAGCCGCTCAAGATGATGTAAAAATCTCAAGCTGACTAGGTTTCCCGAAGTGTTCGGAAACAGTACACCACCAAACATCAGCAGCAACACCAATCTCGTGTGCCGGTCGATAACCTCCGGCGGTGAATCATCCATAATCTCTGCATCCATCGCCTCCAGATGCTGCCGGACGGGCGTCAGCTGCAAACGACTAGCCCCACTCAATGCAGTCTCCTCCGCTGGCTGGAATCCGGTAAGCCGCTACAACATATGCAGGTAATGCAATCCCCTGTAGTCTCTGAGAACATGCAGGTAAGCTATAGGTAATCCATCAACCGGCAGCCCGAAAAGAACCTCCACATCCTCAAGCGTGATGGTAGCCTCGCCGATGGGTAGATGGAATGTGTATGTCTCCGGTCGCCACCGCTCTATCATAGCCATGATCAACGCCCAGTCGAACTGCAACCGGCCGATCTCTATGATCATGTAGAAACCCGTATCCTGAAGGTGTCTAACTATACGGGGATAGAGTGAGTGGGCCCTAATGAACTCCCACATATCGTCTATACGTCTAAGGCGGAATGTCTGGGACAAACACTGCCCATCCCATATGTATAGTTGGCCTGTAGCAACAGTAGCTCTAGAGATGCAGGTCCGGGATGCAAAGGGGAACCTCCATGACGATATCTGTAAATTTAACAATATTAATTAAAGTGTTTTTCTTTTTAATTGCTTTAACATCTTTAAATATATTGAAATATCTTTTATATTAATATTTAATTGATATGTTTACTATATTGTTACTTAGGTTGATGCGTTTTCTATATTATAATTTTATATGTTAGTTTATTATTATATGTTAGTTTATTATTTTATATGTTTCTTTCTTATTCACCTATTTTTGGGTATAATAGAATTAAATAATTAATTTTTATATGAATACATGATTTAATTAATAAGTATTCATATACAAATAATTAGTTTGACAAATTTTATTGTTTTTTATGTTATTTTCTTATATTTGTTGACCAGTATTCGAGATACTTTATGTTTGAACTATCATCAATAACTACAAAGATACTACGTTAAATGACACTACATTGTACTACGCTAAAGGGCATTACATTATAATTACGGGCAATACATTAAAATTACGGGCACATCATAACACTAAAGGGAACTAAATAATATTAATTATTCATAAAATAATAATTTATCTATTTTACTAATCTTTTAGCACATAAATAATCTAATTCGGATAAAAAATAACAAATTAATTTAATCACAAAACAATCACGACAATACATATACCACAGTAAAAAAATAACTAATAAATATTTTTTTATAACAACTAATAACATTAATTATTCATAAAATAACAATTTCTCTATTTTACTAATGTTTTTAGCACAATAATAATCTAATCCGGATAAAAAATAAAAAATTAATTAAATTGCAAAACAATCACGAAAGAACATATATCACAGTAAAAAACAACTAATAGACATTTATAATACATAAGTTTAACAAAAAATAAGTCGGAATACTTTGATTTTAAATTTTTTGAAAGGTGAAGATTTGATGATTTGGGGGCCGAAACGAGCAATCCACTATGCGATAATGCCTTAGATCCGATGTTAGCTTGTTACAATACCGAGAATCTACATTATTTGTGGGACCGGTGGGCTCCAATGGAGTTTTTTGGCGTTAAAAATATTGGGGGGGGGGGGGGGGGGAGGGCTGCTGGTTCGCGTCTGGTTGGGGAAGGAGAAGGCACGGTTTTTATATAGGTATAGCGCGCATATATAAGACAACGCCTTATATATGCGCGCTATACCTTTATAGTTCAAATATAGCGCAGTTATTCACCGCGCTGTACCTTAATGGGTAAAACTGCCGATTAACCGCGCTATATATAAAACGATATCCAGTTTTTTTTTAAACTATTTGTGTCTTTGAGTCCAAATGAACCATACTTTGGTTCCGGACTCTAACTGGCTGCTGCTCGAGTATACCTGCTATGCGCCAATGATCACCCCAATGATTATTAGGGTGAGACATGACAGTAGTATTTTAGTCATAGTTGTAAATATCAAAATACTGAAGATAACATATTTAAGCATACTGTTAAAAATAATAGTTGCATTACTGTTAAAAATTGAAAGTAACATATGTCCTTAAAGAAATTAAATTGATTTCTTCAATTGATGTGTAATATTTTTATATTTATTGGTTATAAGACAACTGAGTATTTAGAAAAACAATTCAATCAAAATTGTATTTTCCTTATTTTACGACATATCTATTGAAACTTAAATTTCATGGAAATTTTAGCACTCTTTAATTTTAAATTAAATATTTATACTGTATATTTTCTAAATGTTGTTAAATTGGCTTTTGTTTAAAATATGGTTAGTCAAACATGCCTGCCCTGCTAATATGGACCTTCTTCGCTCATTTGGAAAAATTCACCCGTAGTTCAATTAGATTAACGTGACAGAAAAGAGTTGTGGCTTTATTGTAATTGGATAAAGTTTGCGTTAAATATTTTACACAATTCAATAGATTTTCAGTTTTACTAAGTGAATGTTGAAAGAGAAATTTCTAACGTACTGTAATTCAACGAGGATGTTATAGCTTTCCTCCTGCAAGTACACAAAGGGACAGGACTTGACAGAAGTAAAAAACTCATATAACAATAGCTCTCATAATCATAAACATTTGAAAGCAGTGCAGAGGCAGTCGTCTAAGACTACACTTGCAAATACTCATATGTTACAGACTCAAAGAATATAAATAAAGCAAATATATAGTATGTAATTTCTTAAAACTTGCTGCTACCCTCAGCCCCATTTAGCTGTGTAAAGTGGGGAGAATTAACACAGTGTGATTATGAAAGTTAAAGGTAGGGTAGCTTCTCAAGATCCTCAAGAGGGCGGAAGAAGGCCTTCTGTTCCAATACAGAATCTACACTAGCAATCGCAGGAGGCATCGTTTGGAAACCACTGTGATCAGTTGCTGGCCCAAACACTCCTGTTTGAGGATGAGGAGCCCAGTACTTGTCTTTGGTCCCTTCATCTGACACCACAAAATAAGGTCGCACGTATTCCTCTGGATTCTTGTCGTACACTGATGCGTGCACTGCCCTCCTGCACAACACAATCCAAGATTGAAGGGACAATATATAAGCTTTCCGACACAAGTTTTACTCAACATCCTGCTACTAGCCGTCACGTCATATTGAAATAAACCAAAAGAGGGGGGGAATTAGCAACAAACAAAATTCCAAGAACAGGGGCAGAAAAAAGCAAAAGAGATTATGCTACAAAAGTTGTATAGACATATAAAAACTGACCTGCCAGAGAGGGTAGGTGAATTTCGAGCACTTGCGTAGCTGAATTGGTTCAGAAATCGCTTCCCCAAGCTCAAGAGTCCCCTCTTCTGTAAAGTGGTGGCCATATAATAATAACGTTCTCTTTCAAAGAAAGGATGGAATCCGTCTTACACAATGAGGAAATAAGAAAGAATTAAGAAGATTAATGTGATGATGAGACTCTTTGCCTCAGCTTCACTATTTATAGTGAAAAAATCCAGACTCCAGACTGGACTTTCCGATAGTATTTCCCTGGGTCCGCAACTACCCAGTTGGATCAAGTACCAGTTCCGTCAAAAGTTGTACTCGTCCCTCTGTTATTTTATATTTGGTCAAGATGAGGTATACCCAAAAAAAAATAAAAAGAAGAGGAAAAATCACAAAGCAGGTGTTAGTATTAAATTGACTGATTAAGTTAATAATGAGCAACTTAAAGTGTATTGAACCGAATAAATCATTAAATCATGAGAATAGTGACACTTTTATATTTTAATTATGTTTTACTCTCTCGTCTGTCTCTTCTTTGGCATGCCGAGTGCTGGTGCAGGTTGCTGTAAAACTTGTCACGATTTTCAATTTAAGATGCAGTTTTGTCTTAATTACCTTCTTTTGCATAAACTAGAATGAAAGAAAATTTAAAACAAATTAAGAGATCTACACTTAACGATTCTTTCAAGTTAATATCGCACTTGTTACTTTTATCTGCGCTATAACAATTAGTCCCAATTAGAACTCTTGAGAAAGCCACCGGATTAGAGTCAAATTAAGTGAACATACATGTTTATTAGGTTAACAGAATTATTACTTCACCAATGGCTTTCACGTGTTTTTGCGATCAGTGGCGAACTTAGAATTTTACCAACAAGTTCAAGAAAAAATAATGTTAACCGATAATAAGAATGGTATCGGCAATGCGGCAAGTGAGATTTGTTTTGAGGCTCTTTTTCGGATCTTAAACTGATAATGCTACTACAAAATGAACAATTTTAAAAACTTGCGGTCGACATTCCTCTATATTTTATATTTTCAAAGAAAGTTGGCAAGAAGTTTAAAACACTAATAAAAGAACTTTACACAGGAACATCTTTGGTCAAGCGGATTCAACAAAGGCTTATATTCGCAATTTACGGAATTTAATCTATATAAAATATCAAAAAATTTCAGCGGAGTAGATTCATTTGAATCCTCTTTATCCTACCTGAGTTCGTCCCTGTTTGCAATAGAGGAAAAAATGAGAAGGGTAAAAAAAGACAGAAATTACTAATTGAATTTCCAACCGACTTACATTTCAGTCTACCCTGTTAAGCTCTAAAAAATAAGTAAAATATATCTGAAGTCTTGTTTAGGAGCCGGTGCCGAGGTAACCAAGTTTGAAAATGTTTTGGACTTTTTAGTATTATCAAATATTAATGCACCTAGCTATTCAACTTGAATTGCTACAATATCGTCGGAGGCAGATTTATAAGGGAGATTATGGGGCACGTAAACCCATAATTTTTCCTTAAAATTAGATATTTTATGTACTCTTTCCGTTTACTTTTACTTATCCACTTTTGACTTTGCACATCCCTTAAGAAATAATAAATAAAATGTATAATTTACCATGATATCTATATTAATTGGTGTATAGCCTTAATAGATTTGAAAAATGATTTGGAATGAGTAATTAATGCTAAGAGCAAAACAGAAAAAATAAATTATTCTTATCTTGATATGCGAAAAGTGACAAGATTTATTTTTAGAATACTTGACAACTAAAAGTGAACGGAGGGAGTATATATTTTCTGAAATTGCTACATATAATATTGACACCCATACTTCAAGAAAGCTCAATGATGCACTTGGTTGAAAGTTGAGTTATTTACCAAGAGGAATATGAATCAATTCTTACTTAAAATATTTTTTCTCCTTTTTTAATAGCGCATCCATATACTAAAAATTCTAGATCCGCGTCTGAATATCGTAGCAGCCAAAAAGTAATCGTTGGCGGGCTGAAACCTGTTTCATCTAGTAAACTAGTTTTGAGTAGTAAAAATTTGAATTGTTGGACAGAGCATCTTCGAAGATGGAATATACGTTTCGGAATGAAAAATGCTAGTAAGTTACAACTTTTATTCATATAATAATAATTCGAATTTACAAAAGACAAAGAACATATGAAAAGTTATTATTCTATCAACCGTGTGTTGATCACGTATAACAACAGAACATGTGGTGATCACTTATAATAATACTTTTAAGTGACAACTTGCAACCCATAATAGATTGAGAAAATGTATAAAGACCCAGTTAAATTTATTCGGGAATATTATTTATACATCTAAACTTTACGGGTGTCCTAACACTTCACTATTCTTATCTAAACTAATTTTAATACCTTCTTCAAAATATTGAACCAGTCTTGTTGTGGGCTGTGTTACCACCCGTGATGTATCAAATACTGCACTATTTCATTTTTTTTCACTTTTTCTTTTCTTTTTCCACTCTTTTTTTTCATTTCATCTTCTCCACCTTCCTTCGTCATTATTTTTGCCGCCCGCCGCCATGGAAGATATTCACAGCCATAACCTCCCTTAAACCCATAAACTCTATCTCTGAAAAATCAGAACTACCTCCCCATACCACTCCACTTTAACACCTCTAATTTGGCCATTTCCTTCACATCAATCTCACCAAAAACTTTTTCTAATGTCATATAATAGTACTTTTTGTCAACTAGATTTTGTAAGCATTCAGTCAAATAAATATATAGCAACTGCATAATTTCCCTTTATGTTTTACTTGTTTTATCAATTTATTTATTTTATCATCTAAAGAGCAATGTCCATTAAATCGAACATAAAACACTATATGGTCCAAGTAATTTGAATCTACTGATGGATTTCTACTGAGGTGGAAAGAAAATCCAGACACCCAAATCGAAGAGAAAAAGAGAGAAAATTTCTTGTATGAAAAATGATATTGGCGAACATCAAGCTCTCCAGTGAAGTATAAACATTATTCCAATCTAAATTTATGATGCTGTTGCTTTGGAGAACTTATGTTTCTATCCAATCTAGGAGATTAAAGAGACAAAATATGAGCAATGAAATGGAGTTTGTAAAGTTAGGTGAATATGGCAGAGGAAATGGAGGAGTGGGAGTAGAGATTCAACAAGAAAGAAAGAGAAGCAAAAAATGTAACAACCCGACTAATTATTTTGGTTTCTAGGTCCCCGTTCCCCTAATTAAGATTTCTCGTATGTGCTTTTACTATTTTATGACTTGCGGGGATGGTTGACTTGGGTTTGGAAGAGTTCGGGTTGAAATCGAAACACTTGGTTCCTTAAAACATGGCCTAAGATGACCAAGTTTGACTTGAGTCAACGTTTTTAGTAAACTACCTCGGAACCGGGATTTAACAGTTCCAATAGGTTCGTATGATAATTTTAGACTTGGGCGTATATTCGAATCAGGTTCCGGATAAACCGGGAGTGTTTCAGCGATTAATGTTGAAAGTTGGCACATTAAAGGTTTTCTAGTTCCTTAAATTTGGTTTGGAGTAGACTTTGGTGTTATCGAGATCCGTTTGGGATTTCGATCCTGGGAATAGTTCCGTACGGTGATTTATGACTTGTATGCAAAATTTAGTGTCATTCCGAATAGTCTATGTATGATTCGGCGCGTTCGGAGTAAGTTGAAAAGCTTGAATTTCATAATTTGATTCAATTGGTTTTGGGGTGTGATTCTTAGTTTTGATGTTGTTTTACGTATTCTGAAAGTTTGAGCAGGTCCGTATTATGTTTATGGACTTGTTGGTACATTTGGATGGGGTTTCGAGTGGCTCGGGTGAGTTTCAGACTGCCCGGAGCTAAGTCCAAAAATCTGGTGTTGCTGGTTCTCGTTTCCTTCTTCACGATCGCAAGGGTTGTGTCGTGTTCACGGAGAAGGAAAATGTGGGGGACTGTGGTTGCTCTTCGCGTTCGCGACCCCTTGCCCGCGTTCGCGAAGATCCGACATGTCAAGCTTTCGCATTCGCGATGCCCATTTTCTTGGTGCCTGGGTAGTTTGCCTTCGCGATCGCGAGACCTCTTCCGCGATCGTGAAGAAGAAATGCCTGAGCAGTGTGTTTAAAAAATCAGGACTTAGGCATATTTGGCTCATTTCTCTCAACTTGTGGCCGATTTTAGAGCTCTTTGTAGAGGGTTTTTCGTCTAGCATCTTGAAGTAAGTATTGTTTACACAATATGAGTTTAATACATAAATTATGGGTAGATTTTAACATAGAAATTGTGAAAATTTTAGGATTTTGTTGAAAAACCTAGGTTTTGATAAAAATGAGATTAGACCACGAAAATGATTATGGAATTGAGTAAGAATTATATTTTGGGTTCGTGAGGTTATGGGTAATATTTATCTTCAAAAATTTTCAGAATTCGGGCACGTGGGCCCGGGGAAACTTTTTAGGAATCTTTCAATTTGGGTTGGGTAATTTTTCTAATAGATAAATTATAAACTTTTTAGTATATATTGATTAATTTATATAATATTTGATTAGTTTTGGATTGTTCGGCATCGACTTGAGACTTTTAGAGTGATTTGTGGACCGAAAAGTAAACTTGGGAACGAGGTAAGTCTCTTGCCTAACCTTGTAAGATAAAATTTACCCCATAGGTGTTCAAATTACTATTCGCTACTAATTGTGGGTGCTACGTACCCACAAAGTGACGAGAGTCCGTGCGTAGCTAAAAATCATGCTTATGTCCGGTTAGTTTTAGGACTCTATCATGTAATACTTATATTATTTGCACTCTACTTGTTAGTTTAAGTGCTTAAATTATATTGAAACTTGATAAAGGATTCGTAAAGACAGAACTTCATTTACCTTGAGTTTTGGCGGGTTACTTGACCGTTAGTAGAAATTGTGCCTCTTTATGTATTAGTTTTGTAGTAGCCGTTAAATCGGAGTTCGTAGAGTATTCTCTCTTCTCGTGGAGCGGGCTGAACACCTCGGTAGTATAATAGATGCATTTATAGTTCGCGCCGATCGACCCTCGGCAGTGTACACATTATTCTGGATTGGGCCGTACGACCTCGACATAAATCGTGCGTGATAATGCTCGAAGTCCGATTACACCTGATATTATTTTCATGACTTGAGAAATTATAATTTACTTGATGGTTCGAATTTGTTGAAGTTAGTATGTGTT